AGGGTCAAAAAGAGCTTATTTTTCAAGTAAGCGTGTTTCACTGTTTACTGGCGACTACCAAAATAATTATTTCCTGTGTGGGTCAGTAGGAGTGAGGTAATCCCAAGGAAAATGTTCCATTGTGCTTACTGGGCTGGGCAGTGCAGCGGCTCCAGACATTCCCTTAAAGCAACAGTGGTTATGTTGAATGGGAAAGTCTGGTTCATGTGCCCCTGGGAGGGAGATTCATTTTTTATTTGATACTTTCAGGATCTTGTGAGAGACAGCAAATGTGAATGTACACATATATATATACCCCCACACTATCATTTGCTCTTACCATGTTGGTTCATTTAAACAGTTTTATGGATGTTTTAGAAAGTAGTTCCAAAGGAGCCAAGATAATGCTCTCTGCTTCTGTCAGTGTAAAAGTAGAAACTTATCTTGCATGAGTTGTTAATTGGTTTACTTGTCAGTCTTGAGCCACTTGAGGGCATGCTTTATTTGTCTTTCTCTTCCCAGCCCATACTAACAGGCCTATGACTGAGTACAATTCTCATTAATCATTTGTTGGATGAATGAATGGCTTGCAAAGGAAGTGAATTCCAGGAAGGTGACTACTACCCCAAATCTGACTGACACTATAACACTGAGATGAGAGAGTTTGCCAGAAGGAGCTCCTAGCCAGCCAGGATTGGAACATCATTGGGGTGCCAAACTCCATGATTCCAGAGGTTAAATAACTCTGTGCTGCATACCACCATCCTTCCTGGAATAAGACAAGTAGGCACAGAATTATAAACACCAGTTGTTGTTAGATTCTGGCAAAGTAGAGTGAATTGTGGCAGGTGGATTAACAGGTGACAATCAGACTAGGCCAATGGGGTACCACTTCTGGTCCATACGATAGAAGGATGCTTTTGAATATACACTGTCTAATATTTCACCCTGTTCACTACCTTCCATGACTGCTTTGGCATGGGAGCTTAGGGTGTACATTACAGAATAAAGAGCTGCATGTTCTAAAAGGGAATGTTCATTACTGATTAAGCCACTAACCCACATTTTCATTAAGTGCCTACTGCATGCCAAACATAGTTTTGCTGCTGGAGTACAGAGGTGACGCGTCAGGCACAGTTCCTGCCCTTAAGAAGTTTAGCCTCTACAAAGATATACAATGTAACCAAAATGTTAAAAAAAAAAAGTGAATTTGAGATACATTGGCGTGGTTTCACTTATCAATAGTTTATTTTTGTTTTTTTTTGCCATGAACCATAATTTTGTATGGCTGACACACAATGTGTTTGTACATTCACGGGTTAAAAGGCATGTATGTAGTTTCTAGTTTGGGGCTATTATAGATAAAGTTGTTCTGAACAGTCATGTACAAGTTGTCTTAGGGTCATATGCTTTCAGTAAAGAAATAGCAGGATCATATTATAGGTGGATGTTTAACTTTTTAAGAAACTACAAACTATTTTCCTAAGTTGTTGAAACATTTTACATTTGTACCAGCAATTTATGAGAGGTTTAGTTTCTTCTCATTTTTGCAAACATTTTTTACCTTATTTTTTTAATTTTAGCTATTCTAATAGGTGTATAGTAGTATCAAATATTGGAAAATAACCAATGATTTTGAACATCTTTCCCTTTGCTTATTTGTTTATTTCAGCATCTTTCTCTTTATTTGCCATATGTATATCTTTTTGTATAGTGGTTTAAATATTTTGTCCATTTTTAAATCAAGTTTTTGTTTTCTTATTATTCAGTTTATAAACAATATATAATTCTTTGTATATTGTGTATAATAGTCTTCTATCAGTTTTATTGATATGCAAGTATTTTCTGCTAGTCTGTGGCTTGTCTTTTATTTCTTTTTTTTATTTTTATATTAGAACATGATTTTTATTTCATCATATTATGGAGGGTACAAATATTATTAGGGTTACAAATATTGCTCCTGCCCCCTCCCTCCCCCCCCCGAAATGTCCAATCCCCTGGTGATGTGCATCGTACACGTTATGGAAACATACATCCCTTGTCTTTTATTTCTTTTAGTGATGTCTTACAAAGAGCAGAAGTTTTAAATCAATGAAGATCAATTTATCAATATATTCTATTATGAATGCTCCCTTTGTTACCATGTTTAAAATACATTTGTCTAATTCAAGGTCATGATTGTCTCCTATATTTTTATTCTAAAAGTTTTATTGTTTTAGGTTATATATTTAAGTTTATGCTACATCTTGGGTGATTTTATTTACATATGAATATTCCTATATGGATTCTCCAGTTTTGCATCTTTGTTTAAAATCACTTGTCCATATATGTGTGGGTCTATTCCCAGAATCCATCTTCTTCCCACTGATCCATTTGTCTATCTTTATGTCAATACCATACTGTTATGATTATTGTAGCTACAATGTATAATAAAGGTTTTTAATTTTTTTTTCAAAAAATAAAAGAAGTTTAGCCTCTAATGGAGGATAAAGACAAAAATGCAAGCAAATACATAAAATAATTATAACCTGTGGCCAGTTGTGAAAAATAAATTGAATATTAAGGTAGGGATTAAATGGAAATGCATAGATATAGTGGTCTGATATAGCAGTCAGGAAGAGGAATGAGCCCTGGGAAGAGAGAAAGGGAAAAACATTTCAGGGAGAGGAAAGAACTCATGTTAAAGACCTAAAGTCAAAAATAAATTGATGTTTTAGAGGATAAAAAACAAGCCCATGAGTCTCCGGGAGAGTGACTGGGGGAGAGTGTGCCCTAACTGGCAGAGCCCTCAAAGGAATTCTGGATCTGCTATCCAGGACACAATACTGAATGGTGGATGCTGAATGTTTGCAGAGTGGTCAGCGGGCTTTACGTTATTATCCACAGCAAGAGGTCTGAGCTGGAGTGTGGTCCTCCAACTGCATGTTTAGTCTCATCTCAGCTATATATGTTCCACCCTGCTGAGTAATAGTGAGAAGAATGGAAAGTTGGACTACGTTTCTAAAATGTGGGAGAAAAACAAGTACAGGTGAAATTGTACAGCTTATGATTCTGGCCCAAGTATCAGGAGGAAATGAGAAAACCTGGGTTGGAGTGGCCATGCACACTCAACTAGTATTTGGAACTGGAGGCTACAGAAAAATATTGATATTGAGGTCAACAATGTTATTTGTACTTTTTGCTTCTGATCTTTCATAACATAAACTCTCTGGGAAGTGTCCTTTATGGATGCCAGTAAGATGCTGCCTGATTCTAGTATTGAGAGTACAGGGCACGCAGTAGTGTGTGTATCACCCACATGCAGGTAGATGAGATGCTGATGGCCACCAGACAGACTGACTTACTCAGGGGTTCTTAACCATGGGTCTAAGGTGAACTTGGTTGGGAAAAAATTATGTCTTCTTTAACTGAAATTTAACATTTCAATGATATATTTAGGCAACAAACCACAGTAATTTTAGCAGTACTTGTCACTTTGTCATCAGCAGAACTCACAGATATTTTCATATCACATTATACTTGAGGTATAGGTACCTCAAAATATTACTCATGCTTATCACTACTTCCAAAATTATGGGAGTTATCACCCCACAACTAGATCTTGAGATGTTAATAATGTATATTTATTACCATATCATGATATTATGATATCATGAATATTTGCTTTAAAAAATATTTGAAAATTGCATTTCAATATTTTCAGTTTTCTTGCAAACATGTATTTTATTTTATGCATTTCAAAACACGATTGTGAGAAGGGGTCTTTAGGCTTCTGGAACACCAAAGGGGTCCCTGAGACAAAGAAAGTTAAGAATTGTCAGATTTATAGGACACAGTCTTGCCAGTTGGCTATAATAGGAGTGTTGGGGATGAAATGTCCACACATCCACTTTCTCACCGAGTAGAAAAAGGGAAGAGGCAATAAATACTTGTCAACCCCATGTAAACACAGAAACACATACGTGTTTTTGTCCAGCTTGTATATCAATTCAGGGATTGAATTTCTGAGAAATAAAAACAGAGAATAGATCTAGAGAGCAGAAAGGGACGTCTGAGAGAACCCACAACCTTGGGTACAAATCGTGCATTTCCAAAAACCTTCCCTACGTAGAGATCTAGGAAAAGAACGGATATCATTTTCTCAAAACTTGGACCTCAAAACAAGGCCTGGAGAAAGTCCGTTCAGACAGCCGTGGCCCTCCCATTCCCTTGGGCTGTAGTCTCGGAGTCTTCAGAGAGGACATCTGCAAGCACAGTGCAAATCATTAGCCTGTCTGCTACCTCCCGTTGCTCAGCCACTTCATGGAGGCTATTTTTAGGAAGTCTGAATTCTCGGTAGAGACGTAGCACCAGCAGCCAGCCCTGAGAAGTCAGCCTGTTTCCCAAACGTCTGAGGTGGCTCCCAGAGATGAGCATGGTACATTCACTCCCCTCTCCTGAAATGAAAATGCCTCTGTTTCTGCCTCTTGAAGGGCGGGAGAAGAGAGGGAGAAAGAGATGTTTGTTTACTTCTTGAGAGATTTTAGAAATTAAACTTGAAGCTTAGGAGGCCATTCATTCACCCCCACACTCCCCTCCCACCCTTCACCACACAAACCGAGCGATGGTTTCTGGCAGTGCCTCCCTCACTGATTCACATAGTCTGGTGGAAGCTCCTTCTGAAGGACGGTTTCGTGGCAAAGAGCACGAAGTCAGAGTCAAAGGATCTGTCAGCTTTCCCAAGATTGTACTCACAGAGCTGGAGGAAGAAGTGTGTTTTAGCCCTTTTCTGCTACTTACTAGATCTTCTCATCAATGAATGGACTAATAATAATGATTCCTACGTAGGGGTTTTATGAGATACCGTGTGTGAGTTGCAAAGTGCCTGATTGATATTAATTAATCTGTAACTGCTATAACTTTGGTTTTGCTAGACAAGTGTGAGAGTCTAAAAGAACGTTCCTCCTGTTTAATGAATGCTAAAGTATTAGCTGATGTCCTAGGGCCACTTCCTCTCATCACCTTGGTTTCTTCCCCTACAGATTATCCTCTACCTCTCATGCCTTTGGTCTTTCTCTCCATGATGTGTTTTGTGCCTGAGCATGAGAACATGCTTACATCTCTCCTAACTGAAACAAAGCCTCTCCTGACCTCATGCTCCAGTGGCTCCTGCTGCCTGCCAGTCCCACGGCTGGGACCTGCCTTTCTGCAGAGAGCAAGCATCCTGCTCTGGGCCACGTGGCAGCTTAGTGGTAAAGACTAAGTGGGACCTGTGGTTTCCTGGCAAACTTGTGGCTGGTGGGTAAGTCTGCCTAATTCTGGCATGCTTGTTACGGTCGCATGTCTCAGCTGCTTTCTCTGGTTGTACGCCATCAGTGATATTCTCATCTCCATCAGCCTGACTCCTTTGTCTTTCTTAGTTGACCTTATTTGATTTAGGAATGAATGAGCAAGTAGAAAGGAGTAATTTATTAGCCACCTCAAACTCCAACAATGGAAAAATGCCAAGATTTAAGGGACAGGTGGGGAAGAGCAGCCTGCAATCTGATCTGGGTTCACAGCTTTATTATAATCCTGACCCGGGAGTCCCATGAGTGCCATTTTTTATGCTCCCCTGTCACCTTCCCACGCTTCCCTTGGACTGGTCTGAGGTCCCAGGATCCCATTCAACACAGTAAGTCAGACAGCCCATATCAATCAATCGGAGCTGATGGATGGGATTAAATCTATCTGAAATCCTGGCTCTACTATGCTGATGTAGGGGGCCAAGGGAAACTTCCCTGTATCCTCTGAAGGTTTGCTGAAAAACCAACTCCCAAAGGCAGATTAGTAGGAGAAAAGGCATACAAATTTATTTGATGTGTATACACAGGGGCCTTCAGAATGAAGACTCAAAGATACAGGGGAAATTGTCCATTTTTATGCTTAGGCTCAACAAAGTATAGTTAACCATGTAGAGATATGATTGGACAAAAAGAGTATGATCTGAGGCTAAGAGACTGAGTAGGGAAACCCAGCATGGCCTGTCTGTCTAGATTCTTCTTGGCCTCTCTGAGCATGCATTCCTTCCTTCCAGGTGTGGGGCAGGACCCTCTCTGGAATAGGGGTCTTATGACCTACAGTCAAACAAGGTAGGTCAGATAATTTCTTTATGGGAAGTTTTTACACAGAATAGTTTTAGGTTTTATGGCTGGCTTTGGGGAAAAGGGATTCTGGTTTCTGTGATTCACCTTGGGGAAGAGGGATTTTATTTCTATGGCTAACTGAGGGGGAGAATGGGACTGAGAGACAGAAGGGCAGGAGAAAGCCAGAGAAAAACTTCTGCTTCTGAGGCCTTCATTTTGGGGTATTGTTTTCTGAGCCCAAACACTGATACCTTCTAAATCTGTAACAAGAACCTAGACCTGTGTGCTGACCTATACAGTAAGGGAAGGCTTCCTTATTGCTTCCAGCACAAAGAGCAAACTCCTTAGCATGGCATAAAAGGCCCCTTGCGACTAGCCGCCGACTACCTGCCATCTCTATGGTCTTCCTCAGTGTCCTTTCTGGCCCAGCCACACTGGGTTCCTTGTGGTTTCCTTAGCAAGCCGTGCACATTTAGGCTTTTGCAAGTAGTGTAGATTTTGCTTGGAAGGAAAGTCCCTTTCTTTGCCATTGTTGGCCTGGCCAGTTTTGCTTATCTTTGAATCATAATACTTTTGCTTTGAGAAGTCCCTTCAGGCAAGTTAGAGCCTTCTTCCTCAGTGTTTCTGCCAGACTTGAGTTTCCTGGGGACAAGGGGACTGCCTTAGTCTCCCCTGGCACCTCGAGGTATACGGCAACACCTTCCATGTCATAGTCACTGAACACAGGTTCGTTGGACCAATGAGTACATTTTCAAGGTCATTATAGGCTCTCCTACTCTTGTTTGTTCTGCCGAGAAGCCAGCCACACAATTCCAATTTTTCTAGAAGAGTCCTACAACAATTTGGCATAGCAAACCTGGGTGAATGTCACAGAATGAACAATAGCATGAGAAATCAGCCTGTTGGATTCCTGAAGGGGATGAGATTTCCCTGTGTTTCCAGAATTGATTCTGGCCCCTCAGTGTTGAGAGTGGTGAGCTCAGTGTTAGTCACTGCAAATCTGAACAACCTGTCCCATCATGGAAGCTAAATTCTATTTTGAGTTTAGTTGGAATTTCATCAAGACAATGTATAAAAGCCATCATACGTGCTGTGGTATTAATGGATGGATTCTTAGACAAATACTAGATTTACCTGGACCCTGCCTCTTTGTTTTTGCTCTTTACCATTACTGTTGGGTATCTTAGATGGACCATTTCAGAGTCAGCTTTTTTTTTTCCTCCCCAGGTTCCATTTTTTCCCCTTCTAATATTTCTAGGAAAAATACAGTCTTCAATTTTATGAACTGTACGTAGGGGAGGTTAGTAAAGGCTTTGTGTATATGTGCATGTGTGTGTGTATTAATATGCAGAAGTATAGTCACTCAGGGAGAAAGAAAAGTTCTAATTTTTCTAAAACTTAAAGGAAAACTTAAGGCTTAAAAATTCAGGATGTTTTAGCTTTGTACTATACTATCACATAGCAAATACTTAAAAAGTGTTGGCCATAATAATAATTATAGTTATTAATGTTATCAACAGTAAGAGGATCCAGTACTTGAAAACAGGTTTGTATTTATACCAGTACCTAAGCAAGTATGGGGAGTATATCCTACGTTCCCCATAGGAAGTAGAGGTTGCATATATTAGCTGGAATTCACCCAACTACTTTGAGACAAACAGGATAATGTGCTCGGAACAGAGGTCAACAGCTGTTACTCCTCTGTGACATTCCAGAGATGTGGACAGATGTATTCAGATTGACCTCCCTTATTCAGTGAGTGTGGGAACTGGTGGGGAGGGAGATACAGCCAGAGGGAGGACGAGAAGGTTCCCATGCGGGCCCAGTAACATGAGAGACCACTGAGATCAACATTGAAGTCAACAGTTCTATTTCCTGGAGGGGCTGTCCTAAATAATGTGTTAGGGGATGAAGGCCCTTAAAATGGTTCCAAAAGGAGGAAAACCAAGCATGACAGTTTTCCCAAGGCTAGGACAAGACTGCAGTTCCTGTTGGGGTCAGAGGTCGCCTCCTCACCATTCCTCTGATAGCACAGTAGGGAATAGAAGAGGGTCAAATCAGGTTCAATATAAGATGTGGAGTGAAATACATTCCTTACCTTGCCCTCCCAACCCCAGTTATATTTAATTAACATTCCTGTTTCCAGAAAATACCCAAGTGTCCCAGTGGTTTCAAAAACTTAACAAATAACCAGACACAGCATCTTTGGTACCTTTGTGGAATGCCAGTAACGAGGCAAGCGGCTGGTCTTCAGCGAGACTAAAAGAATGTAGCTCAGTGAGACCATTAGATTTTCACAATAATAGGATTTTGAGAACAGTAAATTTTCCTGATAACAATCTCTTTGGGTCCTAAGACCTGTACATTTTCCTTGTCATAATGGTTTAGCTGGAGTCCACTTGGCAACAATCTTTCTCAATTTTTAACGATGGTGGTTTATGTTTTCTCTATCTACTGCTCCCCATCTGCTTTTTTTCAGGTGCTCAAGGGAAGGGACCTGAAGCTCAGATCAGCATTGCCTGGGCTTGTGACATATTCCTCTTTCTGAGAGTCCACAAGTTCCTGGTCTGATCAGGATTAATTCCTCCAGGATGTCATCAAGAGTACACAAGTTTTCCTTCTTCTCTTGTCTGGGTCTGCATGGGAAGTAAGGACAGCCACATATTCCTGAATAAAGGAAGACTTTGCAAGTCACATGGAGACTTCTAGCGGAATCTTTATGAGTTTGGTGGCTGAAGGTCAGATGGGCTGATAAAGAAGGTACATTTTTCTTTAAAAACCTTGCTCTGACTTTTGCACTGTCAAACCTAGTTAAGCTGCTCATTGACTGGGTCTGTGTCTGTATTTCCCATGACACTCAAATCTAGAGTTCAAGTTTTTGAGTTGGATCGAGTTGAATTAAAATCCCTGCTGTTCTACCTGTTGTGCCATTATAGCCAAATTATTTAACCTCTCTAAGCTTCTGTTTTCCTTATCTGTAAAATGGAGATAATAATAGCACCAACCTCCTAGGGCTGTTGTGAGGATTAAATGAGATAATACATACATCATGCTTAGAACAGTAGCTAACAGCAGGAAGCCTCTAATAAAAATTAGCTGCTGCTTTTATAACTTAGAGTGATGGGCCTGTTTCTTTAAGTGGTCAAAAGATTTTTAGATAATTGTTTTAAGCTACTTTTCACCATATTTTTCATGTCGTCCTTGATAAAGCCTCATAGTTTGCTTCTGCAAATATATCTTTATGTAATACTTGTTTATTCAAGGAGATTAGTCAATCAATATGACAGTTATTTCTTATTTTATTCCCTTTAGGCTTAGCCATATTTTTTTTAGGCTTTCGTCCTGCTCGTTTGTGACAATATGCATGGTTTTCTTAACTTCATTTTTATCTATTTTTTGATAAAGTTTTTCATACCAACAGCTGGAACTGCGTGGTCAAGACAGCTCAAAGAAATAATCTCAGACTTCGTTATTTCCTCACAATCACCATGTGAGCGTTTGAACCTCTGTAAGGCAGGGCTTTGGGGAAAATTAGAAACTAAAATGAAAGGCAAGTTGCTAGCTGGAATTTAGATCAAAGAAGATATTATCCTGGTAGGCTTGCCCTATATGAGAGACAGCCACAGGGCTTTTCACTGACCAGCTTGACAACTATAATTCTTAAAGACTCTTCAGTGACACTTTGACATATACTGGCATATGTTATTAAAGGATTGTGTATCAAGGAGGAATAGTAAGTTAATTTCTAAATCAGGGTTCTGGTGACACTCATGCTGTAGAGTAAAATCAATTCACATAAATATATTGCACATATATACAATGATCCATTCCAGTTGGTCCAATAAACATTTAATAAGCATGAAGTGGAGGTTCATTAAACCTTATTTCTATATTAAGGGTGAGGGAAATTTACACATTGTGTGAGATATGAACAACCTGTTGAGTGAGGTGTTTTCATCCCTATTTTACACACAAGAAATTGAGGCTCTGACTTTCTGAGATTATATAGCTAGAAAGTGGCCCAACTGGTTTTGGTCCCTAAGCCTGTGGGACCTTCCCAGTCCTCTGCATTTAGCCATTGTAATTCTCAAGTCATTTATCTTTCCTCTTCTGCATTCAGAGTGGTAAACTGAGTCTGGGATGCATTCTGTGTGGGAAGCTCCTTATCTCTCGAGGTCCATGTAGGAACCACAGTGGGCTCAGGGGAGAGAGGAGGGAGATGCTGAGTGGCTAGGCACGCCTCTCGCCTGGGCCATAGAAACAAGTTCTGAAGGAAGTAGGTCTTTGAGTCGCCTACACTGTTGAGCACAGCTCAGGGTAGGGAGCAGACAGGAATATGGGGCTGAAGCCCTAGAGAGTGACAAAGTACACTTTGAACTGGAATATTCCTAATGTCATATGCTTAGGAAACCAGGCACGGGAAGATTACCCTGGTCAGACAGAGACATCCACAATTACAGCCACACTGATGGGGGCAGGGGCAGGATGCAAAGGTGGAGGATTTCATTCTCTCAGTAAATGTCTTATTGAGCACCGACTGTGTGCCACACGCAGGGGATACAGCTGGGAAGGGGAGAGACATGGATTCACCCTCATAATGTTTATAGTCTAATGGGGGACACAGACGCTAACACATAACAGCACGAACAAACCTGTAGTTACTCTTTCTTCATGGCGTTCTACCCCACGTGTGAAGAGTACGATGGCGGTTACGGCAGGGAGACCTGGTTTTGAGGGGTCAGAGCTGGGGAGTGTGTGTGTGTGGGTGTGAAAGTGGCTGGAGAAAACTGCTCTGAGGAGGTTCCATCTACTCTGAATCTGGTTTACTCAGACAGATTGAAGAAAACATCCTGGCCAGAGGGCAGGAAGTGGTGAAGGCCCCGAGATTCAACCCTCAACCAGGGTCTTACCTCCAGGGCTTAGTTCCTGCTATGTTTGTAGCAGCTTACAGAATTTTGTCACCTGTATTACATTTTTCTCTAACAAGCCATATGGTTGGGACTTCAGTACACTTGATCGATTAAGGAAGGTCATTTGCTTTATCATGATGCATATGTCTTTGAATTTCAAGAACACGTGTGGATTCAAGGAATCTGGAATTTCTCCAGAAAAACAGAGGTAGTATACTTTCATGAAGCACAGTTGATTTATGCCTTCCTAGTGTCACTGGCCACTCTCCCCTTTTCTAAGTGACTCTACATGGGCTGTAATGAGACATTGTGTTAGATGACTTGCACCCCAAAGGTAATGCATACCCTTATCCTTTTGTCCTGGCACTGCTTAACCCTTAACTCAGATCAGTTTACTCTTCTGTAAAATGGGGATGATAATAACCTTCCCCACAGACTGCATATTAAATGAGATCTGGAATGTTAAGTTCTTGGTGTGTGAATGCTAGCCATTATTATTACTGGAAATATAGTAGAGTCTCAGTATCTTGTGCATTGATGGGTTTAAGGTCCTTATTTTATCTTTGTCATTTCTACCTCTTAGTATATGTGAATGCCATTGAGTTTCAAGAGTAAATGTGAAAGGACTCTAAAGAAATTATTTGACACATATTTTAAAAAAGGAATGCAAATATCTTTTTTAGAGACAGGGTCTCACTCTGTCTCCCAGGCTGGAGTGCAGTGGCTCAATCATAGCTCTCTGTGACCTCAAACCCCTGGGCTTAAGTGACCCTCCTGCTTCAGCCTCCTGAGTAGCTGGGACTACAGGCATGTACCACCAAGCCTTGCTAATTTTTAAAATTTTTGTAGCGATAGGGTCTCACTATGTTTCCCAGTCTGATCTGGGACTTCTGGCCTCAAGCGATCCTCCTGCCTCGTCCTCCCAAAGTGCCAAGATTACAGGCATGAGCCACCACACCTGGCCAGTGTTTCTTTTTATTTTACAGAATGAAAACCACATAGGGTTCGTCAAGCAATAAAATCAAATATACTTAGTTATTTTTTTGTGAATTTGTATAAGTCAACTAACCTCTCTGGGCTTCAGCTTCCTTCTCTGCAGATAAAGGGCTTAGACCAGGTAAGTGCACTGATTCTCTTCCAGCTGTTTCATTTGATTAAGCACTACCATACACATAACATTAACTAGATGCTATACAGTCATCTTTAATATGCTTAAAGACAGTTATTAACTCACTCTGCAGTCTTTTGTTATCAATTATAGGAAATTGTTGGCAGTCTTTATTTCTACTGTACATATTTAGTTTGTATAACGAGTCCCAGAGCTTTCGTTCTAAATCTGGATAGTCTGGTAGCATTAGAACAGGAGTGGTGATGTTGTAGGAAAGGCCACCCTGCAGTCTTTAAATTGTCCCCAGGAAGACTGGATAGAGGGTAAGAGCCCAGGAATGCTGAGTCAAATTCTAGAAGTGAATCTTCTCTAGGACTGGGGACATGGCTTTGTCATTTACCTGTCGTTCAGAAATATAAGTGAATCATTTCCAAGAACAAATTGCTCCAAAGGGCAGAAAGATGTATCATTATGGGAGTTTCACAAAGACTATGTTTGTGAGAAAACTGAAATGTGGACAAAGAGGGTCTACCAGGAGAGGAGATGCTTCTGATCTGTCATTTATCACATCAGCAGGAAGGGACATGAAGCCTGACTCCACTTACAGTGAGGTCAAAGATGGTCACCGTAGCAATTTAAAGTAGCAAAGAAAAAAAAAAAAGGTGAGAACACTAGAGTTTTGTTAAACAATTTATAATAGGATTATAGGATAGAATACTACACATCAGTCACAAATGATGTTTATAAAGAATACTTAAATGACATAGGGAAATGTTCAAGATACAACAGGTATACATCTGTCAAAAACTATAAGGAAAACATGATATTAAATATATAAAAACCTTAATAGACAAACAGATGTAAGCCAATGGGCCAGAATATTAACTGAGTTTACATTAGGGCAGAAAGAGTATAGATGAATATTGTTTCAATGTTTATATTTTTCTGAATTTTCTATATGAAATATGTCTTACTTTAATAATCAGAATAAACAGCAATGCATCTTTTTTTAAAAAACACATACACAAAACCCCAAACTAGGGTAATTATAAACATTTTAGATTATGAAGAAAGGAGGGAATAAAGTTACTGGAACAGTTTTGAGATAGCCATTGAGTATGCAATACCGACACAGGCCCCTGAAGAGGAGAGCAAAGTTGGCCACGCTGGTGGAATGTCCCCACCTGCAAGGCCTGGAAGTGGGAGAAGGGAGCAGGGGGTTGGCTATAGGTCTGGAGATGCTGCACTGGAGACTCCCTTTGTGCCCTATTACTTCACCCTTGAGGGACAGACAGAGCATGAGACACCAAGGTGCTTTTGGTGCCCTTATTGTCCTCTTAAGAACATACAATGTTTTTTGACTTTCCCTTTGTCTAGGGAACCTCGTCCTGATACCCAGCTGGCTGGGTGCTTGCAAGGTGGAATGTTTTGCAAAGTTCCTAGAAATGAGTTAGGGGAAGTGTGGAGTAAACTAAGCACTGAGCACTCAGTGCTCCAGAGGGCTACCTTATGTCCAATACAAATGTCATGTTCCTAATGTTTATAACTCCTTCAAACACTTAAGCAGATGTTTCTTAACGTCTCAAAATAATTCTTATTGTTGTCTTTTTCACAGTCTATCCTCATCCTGGGAAAACCTCTCCTCTGCAAGAAGCTTTTTTTTTTTAGAGACAGAGTCTCACTCTGTTGTCCGGGCTAGAGTGCCGTGGCTTCAGCCTAGCTCACAGCAACTTCAATCTCTTGGGCTCAAGCAATCCTCCTGCCTTAGCCTCCCGAGTAGCTGGGACTACAGGCATGAGCCACCATGCCTGGCTAATTTTTTCTATATATTTTTAGTTGTCCAGCTAATTTCTTTCTATTTTTAGGAGGGACAGGGTCTCACTCTTGCTCAGGCTGGTCTTGAACTCCTGACCTCGAGCGATCCTCCTGCCTCAGCCTCCTAGAGTGCTAGGATTACAGGCGTGAGCCACCATGCCTGGCCTGCGAGAGGCTTTATTCCTTCTTTAGAACACTATTTGTCCACCCTTAACTCTCTGCTGGATTTCAACCACCCATTTTTCACAACTCTGATGCACATCAATAGAGAATAATTCTCATGAACCCATCATGGACACTATTTTTCAGAGGAAAAAATAAGTCTAAAAGTCAACCTAGTGCAGTTGTGCATCTGTAGCCTCATCTAACTCAGGAGGCTGAGGTGGGAGGATCGCTTGAGCCCAGTAGTCGGAGACCAGCCTGGGTAACATAGTGAGACCCTGTCTCAAAAATAAAAAATGTAAAGTCATCAAAACAATGTAATATCCTGTGTGACATGTTGCAGTCACGATGCCTTGTGGTTTGAGTTCCTTGATCATGTACCCCTAAGGGAAGTAAGTTGGCGGTGACCGTAGATGACGGATGACGGAACCTGTCAGCCTTGGCAGGTGCGTCTTCAGTTCACCTCACACTTTGGGTTCCTCAGGAGGAAGGGCTGGAGCCCTTGCCCACCGTTAGGACCATGATGTTCAGGCTGCTCTTGGCTCTCAACTTATTCCCTTCGTTTCACATAGCAGGTAAATAATTTTAATTTCTTTCCTCTTCTAAATTTTTTTTTGAGGTCTTGTGACCAGCTTGATTTATTTTAAATTTCAAACAATCTGTGAAATTTGGACATTTGAAGTATAGTTCTGGTCTAATATGGTAACCTGTTATTTAGAAACTCACTAATTCTTAGACTATAGTATTTTAACAAAAGTCCTTTGGAAATAAGTAAAATTGATTTAACTATTAGTTGATGGTATCTCAAGAATTTAACTTATGTGCTTTTTTTTTTTAATTTAAGAAAACTGGTACATATAAGGTTGGTTCTGAAGGCTCTGAATTTAGGCTGCCTGGGTTCATATTGCTGATCCAATTCTTACTGGCTAATCTTAGGTGTCTATTTAAACTCTCTAAGCCTTTTCCTTATCTGTAAAATGGGAATGATAATAAACCTCATCTCAAGGTCACTGTGAGGATAAAATGAAGTAATCCATGTGAAATCCTTAGCTCAATCAGTGCTCGGGCTAGCAAGATAAACGTTAGTTGTGATTGCTATGTCTACCCGAATTGAATGAGTGTTAGAACGAATCCTGGAGTCACCACCAAAGTGGGTACAACACCAATATTAATAAATTCGTTTTCTTTTGCAATTGGTGAAATCTATTTTCCTCGATTAAAATTCTTCCCAATGATGATGATGAAGAGGATAATACATCTAACACTCATAGAGCACTTACTCAAAGCAGCACTCAATTCTCCCAGCTAGAAGGTAGATATCACAGTTAGCCCCATTTCAGATGGAGAGACCGATAGGTAGGCATGGCAAGCAATTTGTCCCCAAATTTGCAGGTTCCAGTTGCCAGAGGCACGGTCAGAGACACCTTAGTCTGACCCCAGAGCTGGTTCTCTTGCCTATTCTGCTAGTCTACCTATCATGATGTGGTTTGTAATTTCATAGACTCAGGTAAATCCAGGGTTAAAAAAATCTTTGGAAAAAAAATCACAATTTTCTAACAGAAAAAGCTTGTTATATTAGTGGGCTGGAGTAAGATGCTCATTCAGCTTGTTTTCAGAGTTAGAGAAGGACCCTACTTGGCTCAAAAAGTGGACTGATAGAGATTAACAGGCATGTTTAAATAAGGACAGGTATATTCTCCCAAAAGATACATTGAAAAGCCAGTATCTTCAATTTATTTCTTATTTGACTTGGAGGTACAGAGACTACATTATTCGTTGTTGTTCTTAAACGTTATGTGCATGTACCCCAAAGAGTGTAAGTTCTCCACCTGAAGAAATAGTTACATATACACTTCTGTATTTTGTGGTCTGATGTACCAGTGAGCACAAGTTGTGTATGTTTATAAAAAGTATCAATATAATGAAAGACATGAGCTTGTGATGATATTCCCCAGTATTTGGTAGCAACAGTTAGAGATACCAGATATATTCTAAAAGAATCTTTAAAAATTATTTTTTAAATATCTCTAAAACTTATTTTTAAGGGATCTTTAAAATTTATTTTTAAAGAATATATAAAATTTCTTAGTTTATTAGAGAGTAAAGAGAAGCCTCACCCCAACTGAAAACTATTTAAAATTGGTAATTGTACACAAAATGGTTTCTGATGTGCTTTGTGGACATCTATCTCTCATTAATTTATTTACTCTCTTTTGAAGATTTTTTGGTAAGACTCAAAGCTTTATATTTTTTTCTTTAGGACATTTATTAAAAGGTGGATAGCTGAAAGGCAGTTAGAGAGTTCACACATGTGAAGCCTTTGTTTTCTACCTTGAAATACATTTACTTTTTAAATGCCAACTCACTTTCCTAAAAACTTTCAGGATTTGCTGCTGAGTGTCTATCTAATGATGAAGGAAAGAGATTGGGGTAGAGGGGACACTTCTGAAATGCCTTTTCCAGTAAGAAAACTTAGGAGAAAAAAAATAATTACAACATACAAAATTGTATGATCCATTCTAATCAAATGGTGCAAAGCCTTCTGTGTGCTTTTTGTTTTTCTCTCTCTGTAGTCACTTTGCATTAAGAAATCATAGATAAGGAAATTCCCTGGCCAAAGTGTAAGTGTCCTCCCTGGGATTGTGAGAAATGACTGTTACGGCTGTATTGAGAGGTGTGTATGTGTGCATGTGCGTGTATGAAGAACAGGTTTTTCCCCCATTAATTTAATAATTCTAACTTATTTGTTCACAGCATAGCTGAAAATACTTATTCTATGAAGGTTAAGCCTAACCTGATTCTTCATGATTTGGATGACACTGTAGAAAGATCTTTATGGCTAAATTAAAGTAATATGATTTAGGAAGAATGAGAAAAACTTAACTTAGACATGTCCTTTGCTAAAATCATGTGTTTTCTACCAGACTTGGGTAATTGTGCAACTGAGACCCACAGAGAGGACTTTGTTGGACTTTGGTATGAGTCCAGCTTGGAAGTACAGGCTCTTAAAAGAAAAACGATTTGGGATTGATGACATAATATGTAGCATTGGTTACATTTTTCAGCCAATACTGGTTATTTTTCAGCAAGCTAATTATGCAGTATGAAGACAAAAATCAGGACAGCACCACTTACTTTTCCACGAGGGCGTTCCTTTTCATTTCTCCCAAACCTTAGGAAATAAAATGTCAAAACGGTCAGGGACACAGCTATTTCGCCCATGCTGCTGTGTTCCCGGCAGCACTCCTTTTTCTGAGAGAGGCACAGAAAGCAGGAAAATAACTGGCGTTTGATGAAAAGTCATAAGGAAAGCAAAGTAGATAGAAACCTTATTTTTACTTGAGTTTTCAGCAAATGACTCTGCTGAGGTAGCCGTATACAGAACAAAGTAATTTATTTCTCACGGTTGTGTTGCTGTAGGGCTGGGCTTGGGAAACCAGGGTAAGAAGATGAATTTAGAAAAATGCAATGTAATCAACAGAGTGCTGTATGTACACGACCTCTAATACACTGTGATCAGTTTTTCTGACTGCTAAAAAATCGACTGGGAGTTTTGTCACTTCAGGCAAATGACTCCACCGAGGTAGCCGTATAGAGAACAAAGTCATTTACTTCTCATAGGCTGGGCTTGGGAAAACAGGGTAAAAAGATGAACTTTGAAAAACGCAATGTAATCAACAGACTGCTGTATTTACATGACCTCTAATTCACTGTGGTCAGTTTTTCTGACCGTTAAAAAATTGACTGGGTGTTTTGTCACTTCAGGTAAATTTGATAGATATTTCAAAAGCATAGACATTGCTTAAGAATTTGTTTTCCTCTACTACCATGCCCTAGATAATATTTTTTAAAGGTAATCATCCAGCGAGGACTTTTACAGCAAGGACTGTAAAATTAATATCAATATATCAATTCCAGGAAATAGAATGAGTCATTGCCACAAATAGATTAGAAATAGAAATGAATCTGTGATTGTAACTCCGAAGCGCTCACATGCAAACCTTTACTATGGGTGGGGAGGGGCTCTTGCTGCCTCCTCTTCTTTAAGACATATACTCTCTTCCCTTTTAATGTCTCTTCTGTTTTTTCATGAGTGGAAAAATGCCATATGATTACCATTTGGCTTTTATCTTGTGTGGATATCTTCCTCCAAGTATTTCCTGCATGCAATGTGCTGACATTTACAAAATGAAAATTTTTTTATGCCACCAACATCCCAGAAGAAAATTCCGTTTGTGGTTTATCATCTCTAAAGCAATAGCTCTTTATTAACTAGGATAGGCATTGATGAGGATATGCAGTTCATTTCAGACTCTCCTGTCTAAAAATCAGAGGACAGGCACTCCTTCAAAGCATAATTATTTCACAGGGGGTCACTGCAAGGGACAAAAACCTTTTTCATCTTGGTTAAATTTTTGTTTGCCTTTTTCTTCAAGGAATTTATTACTTATGGAACTTCATAGAGGTTAGAACTTTTCTGCCTAGTAGATAGTTTAGCAGAACATTAGGGAAAATGACATCTGGGTGGTTTTGTGACTGACTGAAGGGGTCTCTGGTGTTTTAAACTGTGTTAAAGTATCTACGTCTTTTTAAAATGGTGAGTTTATTGGCCCTTTTTGGCTAAAACAAACAAAAAAAAAACAAACAAAAAATCCCCCCAAAACTTCAGCCTGAGCTTTCTGTCTGAGAATCGTTGCATGCGAATTGGCTCCTGAAGCTGGGAGGAGGGTAACCCAGGCCCCACAGTAGAGGTGGTTGCGAAGTGAGTGTTTAACTTTTTGCTTGCTACTCTCATTTTGATGACTGCAAACGTGAGAAGAGAGGTGCACTGGATGGGATCCAGAGCTCCCCAGGGCTGGGTGCAGAGGCTTGCACCTATAGCCCCAGTTACCCAGGAGGCCAAGGAGGGAGGATTGCTTGAGCCTAGGAGTTGGAGGCTGCAGTTAGCTATGATTGTGACAGAGAACGCTACTCTTAAAAAAACAAAAAACAAAAAACAAAAAACAAAAAAAAAAAAAAAAAAAAAAAAAAGAAAAAGAAAAGAGCTCCCCTGTCACTTGGTAGAGCAGGAAAAGAACATTTAGACTTCTTTAGCTTTCAATGCTAATTTCACAGGCATATTAATTTAGTCTGGTGTCACCATGCAGGTTCTCTGTGTTTCTGTTTTCATTGCTGGAAGAGATTTGTAAGGTGGTGCAGAATTTCTTACTTAACTTTGAGTTCCTTGTTTATCTCTGCATCACCATTATCATATTTTTCTTCGTCATTGTCTTCATTATCTTGGGGACTCTGGCTGACAAGGTAACCAGGTTTATGGTTCCTAATGGTGTCATTCAGAATTACTCACTCATAGTTCATGTTGGTCTCTGATCTAATCATGAGTCCCTTTCTGCAGCATCTGAACTACCTTGTTGGTTCACAATCTGCCATGTAATGTACTGATTATAGCACTAAATCATATTCATCCCCCCAATTCACACAGAAATCTGAATTGTTGACATATCTGCAAATTTTAAGAATGACATGGATTCTAGATTCCCTTGTTAAGAACTTAGGTGAGTGTTTGAAAATTTTT